ACTGCTCCATTTAACTTTCATCCAAATGATAATTACGAAACATATAAAAAAATTGTTCCTTCCTTCCTTTCACTATGAAATAGGACCCATCAAGATGTTTCAGTATCTCACCTTACATTTAAATATAAATAACATAACCCATGCATCGGGAATGATAGACCATTTCAAACAAAAATCGCTGCAGACTTATAAATAATTTAAAGTAAAAAATCAACAACTCCCCATTTTTCAATTTTGCTAAAATTTGTTTGAATTTTACATTCAATTTAGCGAGTCTGCCTTCAATCAGAAAAAAATTCAAACTAAAAAAATAATAGCAAATCAAAATATGAAACACCTAATTTACTCAGAACACCATATCGACATACTGTCCTTGTGATGCCATTGATGGACGAATGTTCTGACGGTTTTGATGGTGTACTCCACGACCTCGTCCACTGTGGGCGCCTCTCCCAGCTGTATATTCAAAAAGACTTGTCTGAAAAATAATGGTTTGAAAAGAACTGGAATAGTCCGCATAACAAAAATAAGCTAGGACCCGAAAAGCTGTTTCACGACCAGAATTGGTGGTAGTTTGAAATTTCATGTATTGTAAACGAAGAATCATATCGATTAAGTGACAAACCGAGATTGTGCTCATCAAGTCTTTAACATCGGCTGCCGGGTGAGGCTGTGTGAAGAAAAATAAATGGTCGAGAGCCTGCTCAGCATCGAGACGAAGAGATGGATCCAAAACCAGGAGACTATCGATCAAGTTCAAGGCATTCCGATCCTTAAAAAAAAATCACAATTACATAGGCTCTATTACATACAGCTTTCAAATCTGGAACATACCGCACTAAACACAATAAATTTGAGACTTACCCTAACATAAGCTTCCAAACGTTCAACCACTCGACGATTTAGATTCTGTTGAAGCTCCATTTTGCTATAAAGCGGTAGATTTTCGACGCCTCTCCATGTTTGCGGATTAATACTCCCACAAAGATTAGATATCAATGACAATTGTTTTTGTTCACTTTCACCCTGAAATTCGTATCACCTAATTCCAGAATTGTCTTCTAAGTCATGAAAATACATTAGCTTAAATGTTAACGTTTGGCTTCGAAAAATAATGGATAAAGGAAACAGTCCAAAGTTTGATTTCAGGTCGTGCTGGTATGACTTGAACGAGTGCTCTAAAACATTATAATTCCAATAACATACTTGCAAAATTGGGGTGCGTGTCCACAATTCAGCCATAATACAGCCCGCACCCCACATATCGATTTGTGGTCCATAATGACGTTCACCAAGAAGTAATTCAGGAGGACGATACCACAAAGTAACAACACGATTCGTATAGCAATGTTCTGGTTGACCTGAAACAGACACAACAATGCACACCTCATATGCATCATCTCATCAAATAACGAAAATTGCTGAGGCCATCAAAATAAACTTCAAGCTAAATTGTTCAGTTTGAATAACTGCCCAGTTTGAACTTATTTCCTATGCTCATTATGACAGCGATGATCGATCGTAACAACACAACTAAATACCGGGTAATTTTGAAAAGAGTGGTCGTGCTAGACCAAAGTCCGCCAACTTCAATATCCCGTCTTTTGTAATTAACACGTTTGCGGCCTAAAACATGGGGAAAATATTGACTAAATGACATGAAATAAAGCAATATGCATCAATCATATTCACAAGGCGCTACTTTTTCCAGCTTTTACCTCAAAAAAATAAAAATTGTTATTTACAGAGACGATTAAACACAGATGAAAATCCAAGTGCTCAAAGAGATAAAGTTGCGCTACTACATAGAGAGAGAAAAAAAAGCTGCAGATAAAGATATAAGAAAAATAAAAACACGGCATACCTTCATATCACGATGTAATATTTTTGCAAAGTGTATCTGGTAAAGACCTTCTAATAAATGTTTCATCAGTGTTTTGATGTGTACCAAAGACAACCGAACATTGGTATTTGATAGAAGACCAGCAAGATCGTGCTCACAGAAGGAGAATACCAAATAAAAGGTACTACGCTCTCGATTATGTACTGATGCTGAAATGGAAGGGGTGACTTAGGACCATATAAATACTGAAATTTAAAATGGGAAAAAATCTTGAATAGCATACCTCTGCTACTGCATATCTCTATCAGTTCAGTAATATGCTTATGCTTTAGTTTCTGCAACATTTTTACTTCCCGTAGAGCTGTTATTGGAAACTGCAATAATACAATAAATCAAAATCTTTTCAGCAAAGATTCAAAGTAGCAGAGTTACATTATGAGGACATAAAAATCACTGGCAAATAAATAAAGAGTACAAAAACATACCCCTTCCTTCTCATTCTCCATCAAAATTTTCTTCAGAGCAACGATTCGACCCGTACGCTTACAACGCGCTTTGAATACTTCCCTTTAAGTAACGAAGCAATAAATACATTCTCCAAGTTTTCATGAACTTGAATGTTGTGCTCGAAAAAAAGTTACCCGAATGTGCCTTGACCGATTTTTGCCAACTTCTCGTAATTAGTGACATCAGTAATGTATGGGAACTCGAACCTTTCGGTATATTTCATCAACTCAGGTGTCACCTGAAACCAAATAGCATTAAGCTGGCTTGTTCATGAATTGGTTAATTCTACTCCTCAAAGTGACTTCATCGTACATAGAATGACCGACACGCAATAATGCCATTTATTATACGTAAGCAATAAATGAACCTTTTGGCGATTCATCAAAGCGATCTCTTCCTTCGACGGATGTAACATCGATGGCGTGACTGAAATGGATGATGTGCTGGCATTTCCGCCGAATAAGTGAGGCTGTTGAGGAAGATGACTGTTCTGCATTTCAACCCGAATAAACTGAAAAGCTAGAAATGACTTATCAAATAGTAAGTCATTTCTAATATTACGGGTAGCACGTGACAACACTCACGTTACTCTGAATACGAGACATCCCAGCAGCAACCAACCACCAATCCTTCGCTGCCGATTACCATCAAATTCGTAATCATCAATGCCACCAAATCTCAAAATGTGGTAGTTCTCGAGAGCCCGCATTGCAAATCGCAGTCTCTCAGCATTCAGTCGATGATGACTCAGTCGTTGTGACTTCCCGTGCTTGGTGCTTGATTTTGAAGATCATCAGGTATCCTCAGCATTTCCATTTGTCCATCAATGGCATCACAAGGACAGTATGTCGATATGGTGTTCTGAGTAAATTAGGTGTTTCATATTTTGATTTGCTATTATTTTTTTAGTTTGAATTTTTTTCTGATTGAAGGCAGACTCGCTAAATTGAATGTAAAATTCAAACAAATTTTAGCAAAATTGAAAAATGGGGAGTTGTTGATTTTTTACTTTAAATTATTTATAAGTCTGCAGCGATTTTTGTTTGAAATGGTCTATCATTCCCGATGCATGGGTTATGTTATTTATATTTAAATGTAAGGTGAGATACTGAAACATCTTGATGGGTCCTATTTCATAGTGAAAGGAAGGAAGGAACAATTTTTTATATGTTTTCGTAATTATCATTTGGATGAAAGTTAAATGGAGCAGTGATCGCATTTATTGGCATTACAGTTGTTTTGCTTTAATGTTCTTTCAT